ACCTTATGAGCTTCCTCAAGAAGATATCATCAACTTATTTAAATACTGGAACGTGGTTTCCTTTAATAATTAATTTACACCATACAAATAATATCATTTCCCAATTCACTAAAGATGTTGACTCAAATATGAAATCTATGAATTATATGCACGTGTCAATTAAATATCTCACGATTAAGAGTTTAAACAATTATAGTAATCATGAGGTATTTATTTTCTTATTTAGTTAGTAAAAATACAATAATCTCAATAATGGTCATGTCCAATACACAAAGTGTATTAATGTAATAATCCGAGACCTCAGACAATAACTTATAACTAAAATGGATTGTGTCAGAAGATTGCACTACAATACTACTGATGACGTGTTCAATTCTATCGCAATTGTGAACCTTTACTTATATTATATAGGGATCTGATAATTTAATCTTTTGTGTATAAGCCGAACTCTACACACTAGATTATCTACAATATAAAATAAAAGACATAAATGCATATCATATATTTAATATAATGCAAATATTTTGCCCACATGCATGTCATATGGGAAACAAATATTTTTTTATTAAATAATAAACTGAGTTACATTACAAAAAATAAGCTTTAGTATATAACTCTATCAAGTATGACCCTTCTCAAGGGAGAACTAAGCAATGGAGGCAGAGGAGCATGATAGCCAACCTTAACCTTGGATAGAGTCTTGAATGTTTAGTCTACTAAAGCAGATCTCCTAGTACATTGCTCACCGTCGATTTGATTGGGATCTAGAAAGACTCATAGGATAAGTCATTGGTTTGGATCAACATATGAGACAATAAGACATGTGCATTGGTGGCTAAAGAGTCAGAAGTGTTGGCCTTAGATTAGGCTTGAACCTTGATTAATTAAAGAAATAAACAAGAGACAAACAAAGAATACAGGGAAAGCTCTGGAACTAGTTTTTTTTTTTTTTTCATCCCTTCTCATCTTCTAGAAAAGTCTCTTACAAGCTTTATATAGACACTCCATATATTTTAGAAAGTCTCTAAAAATATTTATTTAGAAATACTTAAATATAGACACTCTATATATTCTGGAAAGACTTTTACAAGCTTTATCTAGACAAACCCAAATAATTCTAGAGTTTTCTATCATTGGGCCTAATTAAATACAACAAAACATGACTCAAACACACACTAACATTTTATGACCCAATTACAAACATAACATTTTTGAGTCAAAATACAAAATAACACAATAAAGTATTAACTTTAACACTCTCCCTTAATGCTTTGTTGTGTAACACCCAACATTTCTCGAAAGTATTGAAATTTCTCATTCGGAATTGCATTGGTAAAGATGTCTGCCACTTGATCCACTGTCTTGCAATACTTGACTTGAATCTCATCATCCTCCACGGCCTCTTGAATAAAGTGGTGCTTGATTGCAATGTGCTTGGTTCGGCTATGGTAGACAAGATTCTTTGTCATTGCTATCGCGGACTTGTTATCACACAAATTAGAGTAGGCTCTTCTTGCTTCTCACCATCTTCCAAGATTCTCCTTTGCCATATTGTTTGTGATGTCACCAATGATGCCGAAACATATTCGGCCTCGGCGGATGATTGTGTTACCGTTTGTTGCTTTTTAGATATTCATGAAAAAACACCCAAGCCAAAAGAAAATGCATAACCGGAAGTGCTCTTCATATCATCCACACACCCGGCACAATCACTATCGCAAAATCCAATCAACTTTGTATCGACATTTTTCTCAAACAAAATCCCATTGAAAGCCTTTATTGTTGAAATAGGAATCGATTTGGCTATACCATGCTCGGGGTGCTTGTTTCAACCCATATAATGTTTTTTTCAACTTGTAAACTTTATCTTATTTTCCTTTGACAACAAAGTCTCGAGATTGATCCATATACACCTCTTCCTCCAAGCCTCTATTTAAGAATGCCGACTTCACATCAAATTGGTACAAGAACCATCCTTTTTGAGCCACTAAAGCAATAAGTGTTCTAATTATGTCAAGCTGAGCCACCAATGCAAATGTTTCTTGATAATCAACACCTGCTTGTTGAGAATACCCCTTTGCAAAAAGCCTTGTTTTATTCTTTTGAATTGACCCACCCGGATTAAGCTTTATTTTGTAAATCCACTTCACACCAATCACTTATTTTTCGTTGGGTCTCTCCACCAACTCCCATGTCTTGATCTTTTCAATCACCTGAATCTCCTCTTTCATTGCTTTCTTCTAAACTTCTAGTTTAATTGCTTCTTCAAAGTTCTCCAGTTCAACCATACAAAAGTTGTATCTTGCATACACATCACTAAAACTTCACATTTTTCTTGGAGTTGAACTTGGAGACAAAGAACTTGAGCTTGATGGAGTTGATTGTGGACTAGCAATCGGAGACATTTGACTTGGAACATCAAGGTCCTCATCATCACTTTCTTCACTCCCCACCTCTTCATAAGTAGGAGAAAAATGATTTTACACCTTCTTTTCTTTTCAATCCCAAGAGATTTTTTTTTATCAAAGATGACATCTATTGAAATGATCAACTTATCTTTTTTTAAATTGTAGAGCCTATAGCCTTTTGATTGAGTGCTATATCCCACAAAGATATATTTTTCACTAACTTCATCAAGTTTATGCCTCTTTTCTTTGGGAACGTGTGAATAACAAATACATTCAAACACTTTCAAGTGATTAACTGAGGGCTTTTCTTTTATATCAAGTTTCAAATGGAGTTTTGTTTGAAAGGGCTTTTGTTGGACATCTATTCAACAAGTAAATTGTTGTGTTAACGGCCTCGCCCCAAAAAGTTTTGGGCAAACCCTTTTCATGAAGCATTGATTTAGACATTTTTTTAATTGTTATATTTTTTCTCTCCGTCACTCCATTTTGTTGTGGGGTGTACCCAACAGTCAATTTTCTTTCCATCTCAATATCTTCACAAAATTTTATAAATTCATCAGAGTTGTATTCACCACCTCTATCACTTCTTAACACTTTCATAAAGTGGCTACTTTGCCTTTCAACAAGACTTAGAAATTTTCAAAAAACATTAAACACACTCGATTTTTGTCTTAAAAAGTAAACCCATGTCATTCTAGAAAAATCATCAATGAAAGTAATGAAAATACTTGTTACCTCCATGGGTCGTTATGTCCATAGGCCCGCACACATCGATATGAACAAGCTCTAATGATGCTTTAGCTCTCCATGCATTGTCTTCTGAAAATGCCTCCCAGTGTTGTTTTCCAAGAGCACAACCTTCACAAATTTCTTTGACTTCTTGAATTATCAGCAACCTATGCACCATGCCCTTTTGTTGTAGATACTTCAAACTTTGAAAATTCAAGTGGCCCAATCTCTTATGCCAAAGCTAAGTCTCATCCACAACATTCATCTTCAATGTAACATTTTTGCATACCTCAAAGTGAACGGAAAGCTTATATTTTTCTCCATCTTGATTGTTGCCACCATTTGCTTGCTCACCCTTTTTTTTCATAAATCTTGCAAATATCATCTTCAAAGTGAACTACATACCCATGTTCCACCATTTGACCAACACTCAACAAATTTTGCTCCAAGTCCGGAACTAGTAAAACATTTCTTATGTATCTTGTTTCTTTCTTAGTCTCCGTCGCAGTAGTACCCTTTCTATTTGCTTGGACTAAGGTACCATTACCCATTTTGACTTGTGAATTGGAGAAAATATCAAGGTTGACAAAAATATTTTTATCACCGGTCATGTGGTTACTACAACCACTATCAACAAACTAAACATCATATTTTTTCTCCAAAGCATTGTGACACACATAAAACATGTTCCCATCAACTTATTCTTTTTGGTAAAATTAGCTTGTTGGTTGGTTACTCTAGAATCTTTCTTCACATGCCCAAATTTTTTGCAATTATAACATTGTGGCTTCCCCTTAAACCAACAATCTTTCTCCACATAACTACTTTGATTACAAATTTTACACTCTCTTTGGGTGGACTCCTCATTTCCTTGTCTTTGAAAATTCTTCTTGTGAAAATTTTTCTTTTCTCCACCTTTTGCATTATCAAATTTACCTTTTCATTTTCCACCTTCCGATTGATTGAAATTCCAAGAGCTTCCTTGAGTTTTAGAACCACTAACATTGAGCTTAGATTGGAAAGTACTTTTCAAGTGACTTTTTCGTTTGCTTACTCAATCTTTGTTCAAATGCTTTAATTGAATCCATCAATTCTTCAACACTCAAGGTTTCAATGTCCTAAGTATTTTCAAAAATCGCAACAAAGGGATTATAGTCAGTCGTCAATGTAATTAAAAATTTTTTCACAATTCTTCCATTTGTTATATTATCCCCACATATTTTCATTTGGTTCACAACTTCCATCAATCTAGAAAAATAACCTTGTAACACTTCACCATCTTTCATTTTCATATTTTCAAAATCTCTTCTAAAAGGTTGAAGTTTAATTGCTATTTCCTTCAAGTTGCCCCGATACTGATACTCCTTTTGAAGAATATCTCAAGCATCCTTTGCTTTGGTCTCGTTGATGATCATCGAAAAAATCTTGTCCGAAACTCTTGTTCAATCCGAAACTCCTTGTTCAATCATTGAGAACGCTCTTGCATCCTTTCTCTTATATGCTTTTAATATTTGCTTTTGAGCATCCGTCAAAAAATCGACATCTTCGAGGTCATCATACCCATCTTTAACATACTCCCACAAACCATTTGAAATAAGTTGAGTTTTCATTTTCACACACCAAAAATCATAATTCTCACTATCAAATTGTGAGAACGGAGGTGGTTGAGCTCTAAAACTTTGATTACTTGAACTCGCCATGTTCTTCGAAACCGGGGTTTGTTTTTGCCAACCAAATCTTCACGCCTAGTTGTTGTCATCGACCCATGCTTGGATACCACTCTGTTGGCCTTAGATTAGGCTTGAACCTTGATTAATTAAAGAAACAAACATGAGACAAACAAGGAATACAGGAAAAACTCTGGAACTAGTTTTTCTTTTCATTCCTTCTCATCTTCTAAAAAAAGCTTTTACAAGCTTTATATAGATACTCCATATATTAAAAAAAAAGTCTCTAACAATCTTTATTTAGACACACCTAAATATAAACACTATATATTCTAGAAAAAATTCTTACAAGCTTTATCTAAACACACCCAAATAATTCTAAAGTTTTCTATCTATGGGCCTAATTAAATACAACAAAACATAATTCAAACACACTAATATTTTATGACCCAATTACAAACATAATATTTTTTAGTCCAAATACAAAATAACACAACAAAATATTAACTTTAAATAGGAAGAAAAGGACCCCAGATAGGAGTGTATTGAGGGCATAACAGACATGGCCCTTCTGCGGTCATGACCTCGCGATGACCAGTTGTGGTGATTGGCACTCCTCTCACTGGAGGGAAAACAAAACTATATGTACTCCACTAAAAGCCAAGAATTCTATAAAAAAACCAACAAACCATCTTCAGTAGGATCTGTGACCTGGATTAATTTCAAATTTATCAATAGTTGATGCAATCGAAGTGCACACATCTGTTTGTGTCGTCAATGAGTTTTGGGTTTGGGTTCCACTGAAACTCTGGGTTTGCTTCTCTTGACGAAAGTCTCTCATGGCTTTAAATCTCAAATCTTCAGTATAGCTACTAGGTTCCGGGATCACATCTGGAATGGACATTCGTCCTTCAAGCATGCTGACTACTTCAGACATAATAGGCCGGAGTGATGGAGATGCATTTGTACACAAGAGTGCTACTTTCACCATCCTTTCTGCTTCTTCTTTGTTAACTTTAGACCCCAACCCCTGATCAACAATCTCATCTATGCTTCCACTTTGTTGCATGTGACAGGCCTGCAATATGAATACACAGCAACGGTTGAAAACTTCCACAAAAAAATAAAATAAATAAATAAATAAAAATTACTGGTGTTCAATGCCTGCTAGGTCTATCAAAGGATCGGACATACACCGTATTGTCTTATATTCGAATTCCAATAAATTTTTGCCATTATCCAAAAAATTTGAAAAATTCAAGCTATGTCCGAATCCATTAATTTTCGGATATCTGATTTGAAAATTTGATCCGATCTAATTATCACAAAAAAGTACATGTAGGCAAAAAAAAAATGAACAATACGAATTATGATAATGAACTAAAAAAAAATGAGGAAAAATGAAAAATTGAAGTGAAAGCAAAGGGAAAAACCAAACAAGAGAGAAACAAAATGAAAATGAAAAAAATGGGTCTTATACTGTGATATTCAGTCTATTTTTACTTATCTTGTAGTATAAGTATAATATGTGTGATATTTATTCACATAACATATTTTTTTATTCGGATCAAATTAATAACAGATGAAATGATTATAAATCTATATAGATAAGTCTAATCGAATTCGGATCTGATCGGATTAATGGATTAAAAAATTTGATCCATAATTGCTTAAACGGAATCGGGTCATATTCAGGTTGAAATCTGGTCCGCCTAATGCTAGCATGAAAATGCTTAGACTAGCCTTTGTGCTGGCATAATGCTAGAATCTTGACAACAGATGTTCAACAAAATGAATTGGGATAAGAAGTTTCTGAGTACCCAATCTAAAAGACAAACACAGGTGTTACTTGGCATGTAATTGTTGTTGTTCTTCCCACTAACAATTTCCAACACCACAACCCCAAAGCTGTAAACATCTGCCTTGTAGGTCAAGTAACCCCATAGTGCATATTCTGGTGCCATATATCCTCTGCAAATCAATATTAAAATGACACAATTCAGCAATAAATTACCTGTCTATGCTGAAGACCATGAGCATTAACTATGACAATCTCACAAACTGAAGAAAGAGTTCAATAATTTCCAGAAGAGCACAAGAAACTCACATTGTTCCAGCGACTCGAGTGCTAATGTGGCTATTTTCATCTTCATTGAGCCTAGCCAGTCCAAAGTCAGAAATTTTAGGGTTTAGGTCTCTATCAAGCAACACATTAGTGGCTTTAATGTCTCTGTGAACAATTTTGAATATCGATTCTTCATGGAGAAACACTAAACCTCTAGCAATCCCAACACAGATCTTAAACCTTGTTGGCCAATCCAGCACCAACTGACTGTCCGCAGAACCTAAACATTAGCCGACACGGTAATATTGCTAAAGCCATTCTTATTAACATGTAAAAGCATGGATCAACAACTTCTAAAGAGAATGTATGGCGTAGGAAAATGACAGCAGTTACCAAACAAAGCACTGGCAAGGCTGTTGTTTTCCATGTACTCATATACAAGCAACAATTGATCCCCTTCAATACAACATCCATGAAGCTTAACAAGATTTGGATGCTGCACACAAGAAATCATGCCAATCTCATTCAAAAATTCACGGTTCCCTTGCCTTGATTTAGAGGAGAGCTGCTTCACCGCAATTACAGTGCCATCAGATAATAGGCCCTGCACCATAGCTACACTTCAGATTCCATACATAAATAAAAAGGAAGAGGGAATTAGTAGTGGTTTTAGCTAGAACACCTTGTAAACGGGACCAAAACCACCTTCTCCAAGCTTGTTTGCAGGATCGAAGTTGTTAGTAGCAGCTTTAATTTGTTTTAGGGTGAAAGAAACCGTTTGCAGCTCCATTCCTTCAAAATCTGTTCAAAGAAAATTTAGATCTTGAGATAACAATGCTTCCACTAAAAATCCAGTCAAAACGCAAATGTGCAACATATCAGTTTAAGTTGCAATATCCAGTTTCTCTATGCCATAAGGAGACATAATATCTCGAATAACATATTCAGTCTTGACATTTGCACATGCATTTTATGATAATATGCTGCAATAGTAACACAGATTAAGTCACTACTCAAACAGTCGAAATTCGACAATAAGAGTTCCGGATCTCAAGACCTTTCAAAATAAAATCTTTGATACAGATATAAAATTTTGGGACTATGATTAGCACACACTCAAATTGGAGCACAGGAATCAAAGCTAATTTTCAGCAATTAATATACCGCTCACCATTTCCTTTCTGTTTTCTGCTTCTCAAACAGCGTTTCCACCAAAGAATGCCGAGTACTAAGGAAATAGCACATAATGCCACAACTCCAACAGTAACATAAACGGTTACCTTCTTCTTTTCACCACTTGAACAAGATTTGAAAGCTGTCCAAAAGAGCAAACCAAATAATTATGCTAGTAGAAAACAGACATAGCAGAAAAAGAAATTCGACCAAAAATAGATTCATTTGGCAGCTTAGGCATACTTCTCACATTCATACAGGCTATATGCTATGTAGAATAAAGGTCAAGGAAAACGTGCATGGCTTGCAAGCAAACATGGACATGCCTTACACACAGATTCTAAACCTTTAAACTTGGCATTATAGAGGAAAATGAGACAAAATGGTGGGTCCAAGGTTAAATCAAAATGAAAGATGCCAAAAGACAAACTTCAAAACTGATTATATCTATTCAATCACTAAGCTACATTAAGACTAGTCCAGACAACCTTTTTAGCCATCCAAGTTACTTCGGGTCTCCAAACATTTTAAAATTCGGTTTTGGGTCCATCCTAGATATGCTCAATCGAAGTTCTGGATCCAAGAGTGCACAAAAACCCTAAACCAAATTATTAGGTCAATGGGTACCTCCATTCTCAGTTTTCAACATAACCAGCCCTAACTAGTACAGCCTGATTGTAGAATGAACAAGAACAGCATAACAAGAAGTAGCCAAAGTTACATTTAAAAGATTATAGTCACGTGTGACCAGAGGTTGTGTAGCACATGTTTAATCTGCTTTGGAAAAGCATGAAGTGTTGTAGCTTGGCCAACGGGCCACTACCCTTGAGGCAGAGGGCCAAGATAGTTGAGGTGAGGTACAGGTGTCTCCATATGCTTGTCCGACACTACTTGGGTAGAAAAGGTAGTTGGGCTATTTATGTAGAACTTCATCCTAAACTGCTATGGCGTGTTTCAAAGCTGTGACAATATGACAACTGAGTGAGGTTGTGACACGAAATGAAGAATATACCCTTGCATCTAGACAAAGTAGAGAATCTCTTAAAATCCATGCTTGCAAATAAACACACAATGGCCTACCCTAGCTGTTGATGTAGGCTTCTTTTTTCCCTCTTGAAACAATGTAACGAAATTGCATTCACTCCAGTTAAGAATGTAGATCCAAAAAAGGAGTGTACTTTGTCAATTTAGAATGCTCTATGGGCTTTAAGTTTGTGGGGCAGGATAAAGGGGTTGGGTACTTTGTTCCATAATCACAGGCAAAAATATGAGTGACATACCAGATTCTCTTTAAGTAATGCTGGATATATGTGTGCCTTAAAATAATAACATCTTTATGTATGAGGAAACAATTTAAAAAAAAAAATCAAAATACTTACTCGGATTAACTGAAATAGCTGATATAAGTGGACCATACTCTCCTCTATTAGGAATGCGAGTAGTCCCTTTGCCAGACCAATGAAATCTGATCTCTAAGAAATAATTTGTCACGCTGGCATTAAATTGTCTATCTACTGGCCTTTGAACCCCCCCAGCTTCATGTTCGATACTGAAATCCTTCCGAACTAATTTTCCCTGAGATATAAAAAGGTTCTCTTAAAAAGTTTTATGGCTTAACAAGAATTTACATATGCTCATTCATATAAAAAGTATTACCTGAATATAGATATCAAAAATCCGCCTCCCAAGACTGGTATATGTACTGTCATTTGTAAAAAGTATTTCCGCGAAGAGCAGAGTTATGGTGTAATCTCCATTCTCCATGCAATAGTGGAAATAGGTAAGTGAAATAGGAGAAACGCGTGCTGTATTATACAATTCAGAGATGCCAGTTGCGGGTGTGTTCTCGATGAAACGTGTGTTTTGGAAATTATCATCGTCCATGAAGTCCCCAGTGCTACTAAATCCCCAATAATTATGACTGACATAATATCTTGAACTACCACCACCTTCAACTGCTGCATCTCCGTCATACTCAACATTGTCTTTACCTTCTTTGAGCCTTAAATCGTTTCCACCACAATTAACATGTAAAGAACATCCATCTGCCATAGATGAAATAGAGTTGTGCAATTATGCAAGCACCATCATATTTAACATAAGATTATGACATAACTACACATCTATGCCAGTAACGTAAATTAATACTCATTATGGGCACATATGAATTAGGGGTGGCAATCGAGTCGTGTTGTGTCGGGTTCGTGTCGTGTCGAACATTAATCGTGTCGAACATTAGTCAACCCATTTAACTATTCGTGTCGTGTCGAGTTGACCTGTTTATTTTCGTGTCGTGTTCGTGTTCATATTCGTGTTGACCTACATAAACTTTGAATAAAAAATTTAACACTAAAATTTTATTTTCACTTAATTGAATCTCTCCTCATACTTTTTCTACAAATTAAAAATTAATTTAATAATAATAATAACAACAATAATGAGTAATAGTATCTTTTTTATACAATAATTATGTTAGTGCTTGATAAACAGTTACAAATAATTAATATTTTATTTATATAATACTAATTAAATATGTTAATCGTACATCATACAACCAAATTAAACATCAGAAGTAATAGAAAAAATAAGTTATCAAAACATGAAAACTCATACATGCAACGAAAAGGTCAGGTCAATCTCCTTCGAATTAAAAACTTCGTGTTGACGGGTCAATTCGTGTTAAACAGGTTGAGCCTGAACACAATCCATTAACACTTCGTGTTGGCGGGTCGTGTCAAAAAATTAGTCAACCCAAACCCATTTATTCGTTTCGTGTTTCGTATCGGGTTATCGTGTCGTGTCAAAAATTGCCACCCCTAATATGAATGTTACCAATGAAAGGGTATTTGTTCCCAGTGGACCGTTAATGCCAATTTTTCAAATCTGCGCTTAGGAATTTTCTTTAATTTGAAAAATGATTACAAGGCTATTTAAAATGAAATGGTGAAATGAAGCCAAAGGAGGTTCTATATAATGAGTTGTAGGGAAAGCTCAAGATTTTTTTCCATTACATTTGAAGAAGAATCCATAATGAGTGCGTCAACCTTCCTTCCTTTCCCCAACAAATTATTTCGTTTAAGAAAAGAAGAAAAAAGAATATACGTACATCTTGGGCAGTTGACATCCGTCATACATGGGAGACTATCCCTTCTGTTGCAGATTAAGTATAAAACAATTAGAATCAAACGTGCATTAAGTAGGAAAATAGCCATATTTAGTTTGAAACTTCGCTCTCCTTCAGTTGGATAAAAAACTTAAACATTTAATTTAAGAGAAAAAAATTCATCTTACAGGGTGTCGCCTGTTGAAGAGCTTCTATACATGTTTATGTATAGGTTCCTAAAAACATGGCAACAGAGATAATAACTATCACTGCTACAATGGGAAGCATATAGGAGGGAAACAAAAAATGAAGGAAAAAGAAGACCAAAAAAGGTATTCTGACTTGTTTGGTCGACAAGCGGGTTGCTCGGGTCCTTGCCATGTGAAATTATTATAGGAAAGATCACTGCAGGTGTTCGATCATAAATATTAGATATCAAGCATGATAATGATGATAATATCAGGTATTAAATACAAAAAATAAATGTCAAGCATTTAGGTTCTCTGAAGGAAATTGATAACGATGAGAACCACCAATGAGGTATATTTATGTGAAAGAGATTCAAAATTCACCCGTACATGCAGGGCAGTGATACTTCACACTAGCCCGAGTTTTTGCACTGGAACGAAAATTCATTCAGGAAAATATCCATGGAAATGCAGCGAAAAGCAGGTGGCAAATATCACAGCCATAAATGCTTCCACTCAACTACTAGCATGAACTCACACACTCAAATAAGGGACAATCATTTGGTTAAAAAAAAACACATTCCAGATCACAAACTTACATACTACTTCCATCCTTCAGAATTGAATCAGGTACATTTCCACTTAACATGTTGCCAGTTAAAAACCTGCTCAAAGCAACATCATGTAATCATCATGCCATATACTAGGACAAGACCATTTGACCACCTAAACAAAACAAGCATAACTAGTTTAGTAGAAAGTTACAAGTTTTTCTAGAGACAACATTGACTTGTTTGGTTAAAGATTTTTCTTGCAATTAATTATTCAAAACATCACTAAACGCTGCATAAATTTTTGGCTTTATACTTACACAAATTTCAGACTCCTCGCACTAATGTCATCTGGAATTCGGCCAGCTAACCTGTTAAAACTGAGATCTCTGTTGAAACAAGACATGAATGAACAAGTTAATAAGATATGGCAAACAAAAATCCCACGAGTTCATACCATTAAGTCTATTTAACAGTCGAGTGTTTCTTACGAATCATTGCCCAAATGTAACTGGAAGACAGGCACATTATAGACAAGAGAATAACTAAACTAGAGAGGAGTCTAGTGAGAACTCATGAGAAAAAGCAAACATAAGGAAAAAAAAATACTGAATAGCTTGCACATGCAGTCAAAAACCTAAATATTCAAGAGCACCAGAGAGAACTTAGGTGGCCAATAATCTGAACTAAATGACCCAAGGTGAGCATAACCATGTTCACTGACAATGCAAATGGGAATTGGCCGACTAGGGATTCTACAACTGGTTTTGTTCATGCTTCTTGATACATCAACACCTCTTCAATGTTTTATGTAGTTTCATGAACCACTATTACCCCCATCAACCCAATTATCAGTTTTTTAAGGTAAATCCAGTTATCCCATCAGAACAATCACATTCAGAATGTTCAATGAAAATCCTGATTTCAGTTCCCTCCTCAAATTAAAGAAAGAGCTTTCCACTTTGTCGCCCGTCTGCTTTTTCCAAAACTCTGGATGTACTTTCTCCGTGGAAGGGAATGGCTAATAACAAAGGGGAAAGAAAAAGCTTTCTTTGATAGGTGAACATAACGGATTCCTTTTGTTGTAAATTGATTCTTCCAGCAATTGATTACCGCAAAAAGACATTAGCAGGTGCACTTTCATTCATTTGACTGATAGATACAAGATGGAACATTTGGAGGTATCAAAGATTTTTGATCTAGAGAGGTGAATGACTGTTACCTTGTCCAAGTCTCTAGATCTCATTTTATTCATTTTTTCAAAATTGTGTGCGTGTGTGTATTGAAGGCTGGGACCCACATAATTGGCATGGCCACAGATGTCTTTGTTAATTCATCTATGATTTCTCCCGCAACCAACACTTTTTCCCAATTTTCCTCTCAAGCATGATGAAGATCAAGAAGCAAATATTTTCAAATGGATTCGTTAAGGCAACAATTGACCTTCTTCGAAATAAGTTGAAGGTCTAGATACTCAATCACTAAGGTCTGAGGACTAGGGACAATGATGAGGTAGATATTTATTTTACTACCCAGTTGCCTTATCATTCACCACTTAGACCAAGTGATCATTGCCTTCATTTAGTTGATCAAAATAGATGCAAACAACAACATAAGTAAATCATTAAAACTTTAAAGGCATTACTTACAACATTTGCAGACTCCTCATTCCCCAAATATATGGAGGAATTTCTCCAACAATGTTGCAGTTTCTAAATACCCTAAATTCAAGAATGAAGAGATTAAAGAACTTAGGATCCAATTCACAATCTGCATGCCTAAAATTTTTTCATTATCACTTCACATACAATCTTAATATGCCTGTTGTATTGCTACTCAGCATAGGAAAACCTTGAGTTGGCCCTTTTATGTCACTAATCCTCCTGTTTAAAAAGATTCCACTATGAGCAAAAGCAAATTCCTTCAAAAGGAAAAAGAAACCAAATAGAGAAAGCATGAAAATGACTTCATTGATTTGAGGAGATTTTATACTCACAATTCAGTCACTTTATCCAGAAGCGATAAGTCTGAAGGGATGGGTCCCTCCAGTCCACTTGCATGCATTTCTCTTCATTAACACATTGGACTTATATTAGTATTGAAATACAAAAGTTGTCCAAAGACATTTTTTCCATTGACAAGAATCTTACAATCTTTTTAGCTGTTTCCAATTCTGTATAAAATCAGGGATGGGTCCGCTGAAGTTGTTGTCATTTATCCTACTGCATGGTTCAAGAAAATGGTGCTGGACTGTTACTATCAACAGGACCAAAAATAAATTCAAAGAAAAACATCTAATTGCTTACAAATCTGATAATTTTCTTAGTTCAGCAAATGTTGTTGGTAATTTTCCCGTCAACAGATTGGACGACAACATTCTGGAATTGCAATATCAAGTTTCAGAACAAAGAAAATTGGGTTACTTTCATCCTTCACAAATTTGTTAGAGGAAGTAAAGCATGTGGTGAAGAAGAAAAGGGAGGTCTTACAGGCTATTTAAGTTGACCAACTTCCCAAGCTCCGAAGGAACAGTACCCAAAAATTGGTTTGCTTCAAGGCTCCTGCTAAGAATATCCAATGGAATTACTAAAAAAGTCGGCATAGGAATTTATTACTACATCTCTGAAATCACCAGTAAAGTAAACCCTACAGTCTTTCATCTCAGTTTCAAGAGAAATAAAAACATATTGTGATATAAGTTGCTCAGGTCCAGTTCCAATCATTACTTTTGAACATTGGACCCAAGTTCATAGACTTCAATCACCACTAAATGGATATTCAAAAGAAGAAAAAATGGACCACACCAATTATCCAAAAAAGAACTCACAAATCCAAATTTGAGGACCTACAGGTATGTGAGACTAGTAATCTCCCCCAATTCCTTTGGGATTTCCCCTGATAAGCGATTTGCAAGGACAGAGCTGCATCGTCAATTTTGGGGTTAGCTTTTAGGAATAAAAAAAGCATAACTACTGAGATTTTACATAAAAGGTAGAGGGAGAGAGAGACATACATAGAGGTCAACTGCGTTGAAGCCCATTCAAGTGGTATTGTACCACTGAGGTAATTGTAAGCAAAATCACTACAGGTGAGACAAAGAAAAATTGAATCCAATATACAATTTCTATTCAAGTGTCAATTTTTTTAATATCGAATGGGAATCTGGCATTAGAAAAGCCTCTTACATTTCTCGGAGGTTAGGAAGCTTCACAAGTTCAGGGGGAAGAACACCAGGAAGACTATAACGCTTGAGAACACTGCATGAGAGAAAAACTAATTTAAGTGTCAAGTCTACAGGCAGTTGCAATGAGAAAATCGGATTAGTAATAACAAAATTTTATTATGATGCAGCAAGAAAGCTGAATCGCATAACAAATAAGATAGCACCCAACTTATTACAACATAATGAACCCATTCTTTCCCAACTGCCTTAAATCACTAAAATCAACATTTCATTTTCAATTGAATACTTCAGGAAGGTGTAAGCTATGAATCTATAAGGGATAAAAGAATCATCCACTTGGCCAGAGCGAAGAGGAAACTTTTGCAAGAATAGACCTACGTTCTACATTACAGTCTCATCTCTTTAATATCTTTTTTTTTTATCCATGATATTCTAACCTCTTCTGAGGTTGTTTAGAGGTCATAATCTTTTTGCAATATGGTCCACAAGGACCACAACTATAAAGTTTGTCTCCCTTCAAAAGTGAAGTTGTTACACGTGACATGCTCCATGATCACAAGCCACAGAATCACAAATAACATGACTTCAAGGAAAAGTTTAAGCAAGATATTTTGTAATAAGATCAAGAAATTACTGAGAAAATCAGAATCTATACATCTTTACGATGTGACAGACAGTGTTGTTGAAGTTACAATCGGCGCAAACAACATCACCCACAGATTCGTTTGGTGCCTGTGGTGTCATACCGACCCTTTCAACTTTACAAGAATCGGCATTGAACTTCCAATATGTTGCACCCATTGTAGTGATAATTTGTTGGAGAGCATCCACTGGGACACATATAACCAAACAAGCATCAGGTCATGAAAGCAGGTGGTAAATGGAAAATTTTAAAAGCAGGTGGTAAGAAAATCAATATGAGGAAAGTTACTATAAAGTTCACCGACGGGGTAGAAATTCAAGCAAAACAAACTTAATTAACGAAAGATTCTACCACCCAAAAGTTTTTACAGAATTTAAGATACGCGTGGTGGGTTGGAGTAAGGAAATTGTATATTCTTAAGGCACATGGCGCACACTGATTATCAAGCTTATCCAACTAGAATAAAATAAATACCCTAATTCTGGTTGTCAAGGTTTGATACATAACGTTCATAAATCCAAATGCAGCTACTAGCGTAAGTGGTTTCCACCAAAATTTTTGTAATATCACTAGGACATAAGATGAAGCCATAATTTTGAGTCCTTTTAGTGAACCACTCTAATTGTAGTCCTAGGTTTTAAGATGCATTCTCTAAATCCTTTGATCTACCAAAATACTAGCATGGGGACCAGGACCAGAATACTCTTTAAATCAGAAATGTGGGGAGAATTTTAAGAATAAGTTGTACTAAGCGATCCAAACCATTTCTTCCAATAAATTACAAATAGTTTGGAACTGAATTTCAGTACAGGATTTGAGTGCAGAAAAGCAAAGTATTTCAAGCTTTTTAGTGGTTCTTTTTCCCATCTCCTTGTGCAGGTGGGTGGGTGGGTGGAGAGCTTTCTTTAAAATTAACTAGTACAAAAAATTACTCATTATATATGAATTATTACTGAAGTATTTATGCATTCAACTGAGCTGACTAGAGCCCTGTCTCAATGCCAGTGGCTCACAACACAAAACCTTCTTTACGATTTAACTCTATCTACACTCATAAATTTACTCAGATGATGGACTGGTGATCTTCAGTTGCTATCCATTGACAACCTCCGTGGCCTTTTTCAACTTGAACATAAACTATTCATTCCTGCTGCACAATATTAAATCATCTAAAACAATGGGGTATCGTCTCGTCATAAATTGTGAGAATTTCTTACAGATCCATTTAGTTATTTCCCGTCCCTTTTCTTATCTTACCATTCCTACCATGCATAACTGCACACAATTAAGCTGAAAAATGATTTTGTTTCTACAACGTTAAAGTGGATCAGTTGGGGGAACCTGAGCATCTTTTCTTACCATCATAATGCATTCAGACATGAATCAAGAACAAGATGCACGCACACCCCAACTCACACATACTCTCTCTCTTTCTCTCTCTCTCACACACACACACGCACACACATCCCCCACAAATTAGTCTCTCTCCAATGTTTCTGTAAAAACCGAGAATTCTCTCTGAAGCTTTACTTTATATGAACATATGTTAAGAGAATCAGAATAATTCATTCGTAAAACTCACACAAAAAAAGTACGTCATCATATAAATATAAGAAGTGGATATAGCAAAGCTCAATAAGATATGAATGTACAACAACTTGTTGGTTTATTAGAAACCGCTATTTCAGAAAATTAGCACAAGCATTTGGGTTTTGTGAATGCGAGACAGAGCAGGATCCCATTTTGGTGCATCATTATGCTTTGTCATTTAACAAAAGCAACTTCAAGCATTAATTTCCATGGGATAATTAAAGATGCAATTATAATTCGTGAATTTATACATATATAAAGATAAATATTGACAGCAAAAATCAGTAGATAAGCTTCTGAAATAGTAAATCAAACCCAGCCAAACCCTTCAAAAATTCAGCCACAATTTACAGACCCAAGTAAATTATAGCCATTTAACAAAACCCAACTCACCACCAACCAGCTTAACCTTTTTAACAGTGAATTCTCTTGATAAAACGCAACCCAAAAAATGACAAACCCAAAAGGAGTGCAGATTTTTATATTTTCCCAGCTTTTTAGATGCAGTTTCTCGGCAACCAAACAGAGCAGCGGATGAGCTTTGAAATGGGAAATCTGCTTACCTTCTTCTTGTGGCACTTTGGCAGCTAATTTCAGCATCAAGCAGCTCAATATCAGAATCCACAAAACGACAGCTTTTCTTCTCAGCATCATAGAACATGAAACAATATATGTGAACAACGAAAGAATCATATGAGCAGTGATTAAGTTCAAGGTGTGTTTTTCTTCTTCATCCTGAGTTCTGATCCGAAAGATGAACTGTTAGGCCTGTAAAGATGAGCTTGTCGAAAGCAGTTGTTGAATTCTGGAATAAAAGAATGGAGTACTACTAGTCATACATTGACCATTTTTCACAGGAATGTTTGAATGATGTGATGTTTGCATATTATTTTAATTTTATTGTTAACGATAATAAGATTTTCTTTTTGGGTCAAACATATAAAAACGATAAGAATTGAATTCCTTTTTATTTACTGTTAGACTGGTACGCCTGTCAATTCGTTTTGTATTAATCATATGCTTAGTACCCAATTTATTTATTAATTTATATCTAATAAATTGTATTATATTAAATTTATGTCCCATATAAATTATGTATAATTATTATATAAACGAGTTATGTCATATATTTTTTTTAATTAATTTTACTCATGTCTAATTTATTTATTAATCACATCGTGTCGAATACACACGTTTACTAAATTGGTGGTTTAAGGAAGATTTAAACCCTATAATTTTGTGTCGTGTTCATGTCAGACTAACTGGTCGTGTCATGTTTTGACACTCTTATATACTAAACCAACTAAGTATAACTCATGCCCAAAAATACCCTCTAATATTAAAAATTGAGCATTGATCATGTAATATTTATATTTAAAAAAAATTATTTTTCTTTTTTCATATGTAACTTAAAATTAATTTTTTTGGGACAATATCTAAAATCAAATTTAATAAAAAGAAAATAGATGAGAGATAAGGAAGAGATAAGAAAGAGGTATGTGCAGATTAATGAGATTATCTAATATTGAATTAATTGAATTGAGCCAATGTATATAAGATGGTTTTTTTAAGCGATAAAAAACATTAGGATAAATTTTGTATTATTTGATCAAAATAAATAAAAAATATATTAGACTTGATCGTTGTTATGTTTTTTTAAGTTAAAAATTTAACTTCTTAATTGAAATATTTGATAAATTTTTGAATTGCATATTTATTTTATATTGTGTGGTATAAGCTTTTAAACAGTGGCATCCATCCTTGACTACTCGACTTTGGTAGAGATATTCTGGGGGTTTTTGTTGGAGAGTGAGTTATATTTTATTTATTTGTTTTTTGAACCAGTAATTAAAATTGAGTGGATTGTCCTGTTATTATTAAAATATTAGGGGATTGTGGTGTAATTTGACCAAATAGTATCCCAAAAGGGTGACAAACAGTAAAGATTATCATGTTACAAATAATGAAACACTACAATTATTGTATATAAAATACAATATAAAAATAATTTTTATTTTTTACGGTTAAAATTATTTTAAATTTTACTTTACAGTTAATTCGACGACTAATATTAACTCTTTAAATTTAATAGAAAAAATAGACCCTTTAAGTGTTTGATTAGAGTGACTTTTCAAAAGTATTTCTAAAACTTATGACTTCTAATGAACACTTTAAAAAAAAAAAGGTAGTATTTGAAACAACTTATTTTAATTATTTACAAATAAGTCAAAAATAATTTTACCACTTACATAAGTAAGTAAGTAAAAGTAAAAAAAAAAAAAATTAATCTTTTAAAATCACTTTTCTTCGACACACTTCACCACCACCGTCGTCGCCACCCCACCACTATTGCCACCGCCCTAACATCGCCGCAACCACCACCCAACCGCCACTCCTACTACTACCGCCACTACCACCACCACCATCACTACTACCGCCACTACCACCACCACCATCACTACTACCAACGCCACCGCCACTACCTCCATCGTCACTACCTCCATCACCAGCTCTGCCACAACTACAATCATCATCGCCACTACTACCATTATTACCCACTATCGATTACTACCACTGTCGCCCACATTCACTACTCACCACCACTATCATCTCATTTTTATATTTATTACCATTATTATCTCATCGCCCACCACCACCCACCATAACCATCATTGCCCACTATTGCCGTCATCACCCACTATCACCCACCCCTACCACCATAACCGCCATTCATCACCACCCATCGTCAATATCGCCCTCCATCACTCACACCCACCATCACCATCGTCACCGCCCACCACCATCGTCGCCACATCATGGCCACTGCAAACCGTCATCACCGTCGCCTACCATTACCATTGTCGTTACCCATGGTTCCCACTATCACCATCATCATCAAAAATTCACCACCACCATCACAGTTGCCACCAACAACTACCACCACCACCACGGTCGTTGTTGCCTATCACAACTATCATTGTCTCCCATTACCACCACTACCGCCCACCACCATTACCACCGCTCACCCCACACTATAATTGGTGTTTAAATTTTTTTTTCTTTCCTCTATATTTGTGATTTAATCTTGGGTGTGAATAAAAATATGTTTATGATTGAAATTTTTTTTTATTACTCCATGTCTTCAGGCACGGACAGTAACTAATTATAAAGAATAAAATTTGATATAAAAATATATATCATTCATGCAAATGCGACATTTGAATACGATGTAAAGATTTGTCAATTTTAGAAATTGTATTTGGTTAAATTAGTGATGAAAACTTTAAAGAGCTTAGAGAATATTCGACTCTTATATCTTTTTAGATCAATTTTTTTTAATGAATAAAAACAAAGGATACATGTATTTTTTCTCCAACATCGCACTACAATCATAAGAGTCCAAAAAGATCAACAAACTCAGATTCAAACACCACCTTCAAAATAGTTTAACCTTTAGAGGAGTGGATGAAAGCATATTGATCAATCTAAATATTTAGTCGCAATCGATATTAAATTTGACTGAAGTTCAATTTGGGTAAAAATAGCTCAAAAATATTTTTCAATCTTA